TTACATATGTTAGATATACGTTATCTATCTATTGTATCTACCTATATTAATAGCATATTTCATGTGTAGATCTCTTACAAAGTTGTGTGCAGATATACCTAATAAGATGGCAACTGGGATGACTTTGTAGCAATACTGGGCCATAATACTGGTGGAGCTGTTTAGAAGATTTAAAAGAAGGGACTGTTTACTGCACCCCTCAGGGGTGGATCTGGAGTTTAATCAATCTTTGTTTGGGATATATTCCATCTATTTTGATAGTCAGTATTGATTTTCCTCGGAATCAATTAAGTAATCGTATCATGTGATAGTTGCCATGGAGGGTACCAATATTTCCATGCAATAAGTTGAGAGCATAACACACACTTTTCTTGCCAACGGTTTAGACATTAATGGCTGTGTGTTGAGTTATTTTGAGGAGACAGCTAATTTACACTTTTATACAGGCTGTACATTTACTACTTTACATTGCAGCAGAGTGTCATTTCTTCAGTGTTTTCACATGAAAAGATATAATAAAATATTTACAAAAAATGTGAGGGGTGTACTCACTATTGTGAGATACTGTGTGTGTGTGTGTGTGTATATATATATATATATATATATATCAATCATTACTTATTATATATTTAATGTCTTTATATAGATGTTTTACTGCACATGTCTGGAGATTATGAGTCAGTAGTGCAGTATATATATTTTTTCTGCTCCTTTATTCCCTTTGCTGGTCACTTCTCACTTAATCTATGAATAAAATCAACATTTAGTGGCTGTTTCTTAACTATCATTTTATTTTCTATCCATTGCCTCTTTTTTTGGAGCCACAGACAGAACTCCTAATCACGATTCAAATTAAACTGTTTGTCCATTTTTTCATTTTATTCGGTCATATGACGATTTAGAGTTAAAGAATTTTGATGACATGCCAACGGTTTGAAATTCAAATCAGTTGCAATTCGCTTGAAGCTGAATGCACGAGTCCCATAACAACTACAGCAGGACTTAGTTGCTATGGTGCTTGAAGTGTTCTTTAACCCCTTAAGGACACATGACATGTGTGACATATCATGATTCCCTTTTATTCCAGAGGTTTGGTCCTTAAGGGGTTAAAAACTGCCTGGCTTGCGAATTCCATCAACGTGCAAAACCTTTTAGAGATTTTGGGAAACACCTTATTAATATGAGATGGGTTCAACATAATATTGGTTGGGATAATTAAAGGGGCACTATGGACACCCAAACCACTTCAGTTCATTGAAGTGGTCTGGATGCAGTGCCCCTGTCAGTTTAACCTTGTAATTATTGCAGTTATTGATAAACCTCAATAACTACCTTACATGGTAAACTCCACCTCTGGTGACTGTCTACCAGAAGCCCTTCTGAGTTGTTAGGCAATTTTTGGTACACTAAAACTGACACTGGACATCTTCAGCCTCTGCTTTAGGACATCCAACATCAGCGAAAAGCCTATAGCTGACCAGTATAGACACAGGTGAACATTAGGATGCCCTTCACATTTATTTTTATATTTAACCCCTTAAGGACACATGACGGAAATATTCCGTCATGATTCCCTTTTATTTCTGAAGTTGTGTCCTTAAGGGGTTAATAGCCTCCTTTCTCTGACCACAGGTGCAGCAGGGGGACATTAGAATGTCCTCCTCAGTTATTTAATTTAATAGCCCCCACCCACTGGCCACGATAGAGGAGGTAGTGGAGAGTGATTAATTGTAAAAGCCCTACCCAATTCCAAAGGGTGCAGGCACAGGGGGGACTTTACTTGCACTGCCCAGGGTTATTTGACTATTTGTCCAATGGCAAATGGCTAGTGCTGTCAGTGGACAAATAGTGATTAAAAGTATCCTTTACTTGCAAAAATCATTTGCAAGTGAATATTTTTATTAAAATCTGTACTTTGTATAGAGTTTGTAATGTGAATGCACTGAATTTTAATCCAGACACTAAATGCATCCTGCTGATTTCTACAGATTTACTCGGACCAACCAAATTCCTACCAGATTTGGCTTTAGAAAAAAAGAATTGTCATTCCAGTTGAATTCCGACATTTTCACCAGATTTTGTCCATCCAGACAAAATCTGGTGTTAAGTGAATAACCTTGATTGTCTTTTCTAACCTTCTCTCAATGGAATACATTAAGTATAGGGCTTGAATTAAATACTAAATTCCAAAGAAAAAATCTAATTACAGATATAGTCAGGGACTGGGTAATATAGTTTGTGAATAAATGTTTCTTTTGAAAGATAGAAAAATAGATGAGATAGATGCATGAAAACTAATGATTCCTTAAAATGAATTGAGGAAGCAACATTAAAGGAAGTATAATGGGGAAATTACATGTTTAAATATTTATGCATACATCTCATGGGACAATTTAAATTAGATAAAGAATGACTAGGCATGAAGCCGATATTAACAAATTAACACAATGAATGCTAGAGGGAAGTTAGGATAGTAAAAGAGGTAGACATATATAAAGAGATACAAGTTTTATTATTCCTTCTGTATAGACATACATATATTGGGCTAAAATGGGAGTAGAGACATTTAGCACTCAATGCTCATCTCCACTCCTTACTCTATTGTGACACAATGGAGAGCAGTTATTAGTTAAGTGATCTGAAAAGCCCCCTTTATTTGTTCATAGTAAATTGCTATAACATTGTCTAATAATTGCCTGTTGTTCATGGTCTAAATTATGACATTTTAACAGAAAACATTAATTTTATAAAAGTCTGCCAAATTTATAGTACCAGAAACTGAAAGATTGATTAATCCACTTTGTCACCAAAAAAACCCCCAAAAAAACATTTTGCTGAAAATAATGTGAACAACTGTCTGTAATACTTTGATAAATCTCGCACAATATGTATGAACTGCAGCAAATCTGGACCAAAGTTCTAAAAAGTAAATAATAAGAAAAAAATAAAGTTCTTTATTATAAAGCTAAAAAAACACACGCACACATACCACACATAACACACATATGACGTTTGTGTGGCTGGGTACTTATCGTAGACTAAATAAACGTGAGTGAGGGTAATATACAATGGGAAGGGGAGTGAAAACAAATAAACTGACATGGTATGTGTGGTATGTTTGCGTGTGATTTTTAGCTTTATAATAAAGAACTATTATTTTCTTATAATTTTTCTCTGTTTTTTGCTGTTGCTTAACCTAGGGTTATCACCTTATCTAATCCCACTCCATTGTATCTGGACCATTGTTGGGCTATCATTTCACTAATTAAAGTTCTAAAAAGTACAATTATCTAGTGATACTCTTGTCTTAATTTTGTTTAGTGGATCACAGGAAGATTGTCCACAAGTGCTTTTAAGCACATTTTTAAAGTGTCTAGATCAGCAGCAATATGTCGTTGTTTCTATTGCAACTTCAATGAATGGTAAATAATTCTATGTATATAGGTGAAGATCAGGGGTGGAACTAATGTAGAGAACGCCCTGGTGCAAAGCAAAAAAACATTTTGGAACTCACCTCTAGAACAAGGGTGGTCAAAAGGCAGGGGTGGACTGAGAGCCTTTGGGGCCCCCGGGCAAAATTAGATCCCAGGCCCTTTGAAGGCCAAATATATGTGCATTTTAATAAATGTTAAATATAATTCAAAATACGGCATTCCTTTGTATGTGTGTATTGTGAAGACCTGTGTATCAATGCATGTTTGTATTTGAGTCTGTGTGAATGCACTTGTGCATGTCTGGATGACTACATGTGCTTTTTTGTATATAGTGTCTGTGTGAATGCATATGTGACAGGTGACAGAGTGTGTGAGGGAGAAGGTGACAGGTGGAAGAGTGTGGAAGGTTGTGACAGGTGGCAGAGTGAGGGGGTACCTGGTGGCAGAGTGAGGGAGGGAGGGGTTGAGTGGTGGCAGAGTGAGGGGGAGACACAGTGAGTGGGGGTGACTGGTGACAGAGTGAGGGAGTGGGTGACTAGTGACAGAGGGAAGGAGAGGGGGAGACTAGTGACAGAGTGAGGGAATGGGTGACTAGTGGCAGAGTGAGGGAGGGAAGAGATGACGAGTGGCAAAGTGAGGGAGGGAAGGGGTGACTAGTGACAGAGTGAGGGGATGACTGGTGACAGAGTGAGGGGGGGGTGACTGTCACTAGTCACCCCATCCCTCTCTCTGTCACTAGTCACTCCCTCCCTAACTCTGTCACTGTGTCACCCGCTCCCTCACTCTGTCACTAGTCACCCCCTCCCTCACTCTGTCACTAATCACCCCCTCTCTCCCTAGTCACCCCCTTCCTCACTCTGTCACTAGTCACCCCATCCTTCTCTCTGTCACTAGTCACTCCATCCCTAACTCTGTCACTGTGTCACCCACTCCCTCACTCTGTCACTAGTCACCCGCTCTCTCACTATGTCACTAGTCACCCCCTCCCTCACTATGTCACTAGTCACCCCCTTCCTCACTCTGTCACTAGTCACCCCCTCTCTGACTCTGTCACTAAGGACAGAGGAGGTGATTAGTGACAG